CCAAAAAAAACCCAAAAAAACACCTAAATATTGAAACCCATAAACAAAATGTGCAGGTGCTTCTGGGCTATCTATATGAAATGTTAAAATGTGTGCTTTGCCTCATATGAAGGGATTTCCTTGAGTCAAGCTCACAGAAGCCCAAGTGTACAGAAATCCCCTGTATGTTGACAGATACACATTGATTGAAGTTGGATGATGATAATATGCTATTTGTAGATACATACCTTTTAGATATATCTTGCTACTTTGCTTTCCTGTCAAAATTAGTTGTTTCCATCATCCATGTAGGTAGATTATTGATTATACTTAACTAGCATTCTGATAGCTAAATCACATTGAGAACAGTTTTTAAACAAGATTTTAATAGCTCTTATTGCAATGGTATCATAAACATATGTAGAAAGTACAAGAGTAAGAAAACCCAAGCTCCCCAAAAAAGAAACCCAAACCCATTTTTTCCTTATAATAGACAAATTTGGTCAATATCTAACATGAAAAATCAGTATCAGTATGTTAGCGTTTTTTTCTTTCTGAGACAATCTAAAGCAAATTCTTCAGTGAGTTTAAATTTGTTTTAATGATATCTTCTTTTAAAGAATTATAAAAATTAATTTAAATTTTTAACCTAAATTTTATTTAATCATGAGAAAATTCTTGTCCATCAATCTTGATAAATGCTACCAGTACTTTGTACACAGGCTGAACCCAAGGCTATACACCATTTGACATACATGGGTCATAACTGCACTTCTCTAAAACTTCAGTCAAGTTCTTCAAGAAGACATTTTAAAAAAAAAAAAAAAAAAACAACCCCCCCCCCCAAAAAAAAAAAAACCCAAAAAAACTTTTGAGGGTCTATGATAAAGAAAATGTAAAACATATGAGCTGAATGTAACCAGAGCAGAGAGGGGCTACCATACAACATGCAAGAGTCAATCCTTGAGGCGTAAATCACAGTAAGTTGTGGATCTTCTAAAAATGTCTCTTTTGCACATACAAATCCAAACTGTATAAACTTCTGTCCCAGAAGTTTCTACTTTGATGAGCTTTCACTATAATCCAAGTGTCTTGCTGGCTTGCTGTCTGCACTGCAGGCTCCAGGGCCTTCACACTCCATGAGCTAGGCAACTGCTCCATGCTTGCTGCTTCAGGCTGGGGGACTCCCTCACACTTCCAGCTGTGGCAGCTGCTAGGAAACCAGTAGATCATGAGGTGAACATCTTGATAAAAGGAGCTGGAGGAGTTCTCGCCCACTGCCTGCTAACTCTGGCAGCAGCCAGTGTACTTGAGCTTTGGGGAGCTTGTTCCTCCCTCCTGGAGTGGAGTGTACTGCAAGCCTTTTGTAGCAAATTCTGAGTCCTGACCAGCTGCCCTAGGAACTACCATGTTCAGCCAAGTAAGTCAGTTGGATACTCTGGAAAAAACTGTTCAGATGATGGCATGTGTTGACATGAACCATTCTCTGCCATACTTAAAAAAAAAAAAATTGTAAAATTTGCCATTACTCGTGAGTTGCATCTCATTTTCATGCCTGCTATTTGGGGGTGTGTTTAACAGCTATGTTCTCTCTATCTGCAGCACAGGAGTAGATCTGAGAATGTAACCTGAGGTCATACAAAAGAGTGGTGGAAAATTTTGGGAGCCTGGATAATCTGAGGTGACAGCACTTGAAACTTTCAAGTCACAACCAGACATAAACAAGCATTTGTGGTGGCTTGCGCCCATCGGGCTTTCTACCACATTTCTTTCTGCAGAAGGGCTCCTCTTGTCGTTGGAGTGACAGGGGTGCTGGGCACTGCTTGCAGTCTTACTTTGTTACTGGGGTCTGTCAGGAGCTGGCAGGGGTGGTACAGTGCTTCAGCCCCAGCCTCCTTGAACCTACAAGTCTGAATATGCTACAGACCCCGATGAAGTTTTGCGTTATTTCTAAGTGTAGTTAAAAAAACCAATCCCTGAGAACTGTAAAAGACACAGCTGGGTTGCAGCAGCAGCAGCTTTCCATGCAAACATAGTATCTTATTTAATGGCTGTGAGCATTCCTTGTAGTCGATGGATGGGTGACAGGAAGAAAATGATTTAACAGTATCCTTCTGGACCAATTTTAAACAAAAAGTGAAGTTTTTTTAGCAAGTAAAATATGTGCTGCTGAAGAGATAAAAAACACTTCTGGCATTTATCCTGCAGCCAAATGCAAAATAATGATATATTGTCCTTTTATGTAAGGCTGACTTGTTTTTGTATAGATAGTGGTCAATTTTGCAAAAACATCAAAAATATTTTTAATATATAATTCTAAATTTGGAGGTTCTTTGTGGCATTAAAATGGCAGACACTGATCTGTATGCACCTGAATATTATAGATAAAACAGTCATTCATGATTTAGGGATAGGGATTTCTTAAATTTAGTTTTGTTTTTTAGAAGTATGCATTTCAAATTCAATTTTACACTGTGTGTGTGTATGTATGTCATTGCCCTCTACTGGACAGATTAGAGAAATTTTTTGAGCAATGCTACCAGCTTGCTTGAAGTCTGTGGCTGTTACTTCACCACAATCGGAAGAGGGATGTCTTCACACTCCAAGTATTAAACAAGCATATGGAAATATCTCTTTAAGGTGGGTAGGTTTGTCTTTATATTTTGTGTGCTTAACCAATAGTTTTTAATTTTTATTTTGCAAAAAACTCAGATGTTTTGAGATCTTTGTTTATTTTGTGGAAAGTTGTGCAAGATAAGACTGCTTATCCTTATTAACAGCAATCACTTATATGGGATGGATGTGAAAGATTCTCTTTTGTCTTGGTAAAATCTCTCAAATGTTTCATAAAATGCAAAGATTCAGAAAATTATATTAGCAGTGAAAATAGAACTGTAATGGGCAATGTACTTGTGTTGTAGTTCATGGCTAGGTCAATGTCATATATTCTAATCCTTATTTTTTTTTTTTTTTTATTAAATACTAAAATGAACAGGATTAGGATGGGTAAATAATTAAAACCAACTGTCTCACTGTTTTCACACTGTAGTAGGGGGACTTGATCCTGTCTTGTGCCCAAAGCCCCTGTTTACTGGCAGTTTGGGCAGAGTCAGCTATTTTTAGGTTAGATTTTTTTTTTTAATTGGTATCTGACTTTCTGCTGTTAACAGGACCTTGCTTGGAGGTGGCATCATTTGATTATGAGCAGGGACAACTCTCTGATGCTTTAAGGGTTTGGGTTCTGGGTTTCTGGGGAAGAAGAGGTGCAAAATAATCACACATTGCACCTCCCATTTAGTGAGGGTTGCTGAAACATGCAGCTTTTCATGCAGGACAGGAAGGATGGGTTTGGTAGGAGTGGAAGGAAGGTGACAGCTGCCACTAGTGAGTGGAACTTGGGAGGATATCTTATCTGGGGATGCTTTTCCCTCATCTCCTCCCCTAGTTGATAGCTGTTCTCTTCTGTAGCTAGATGGACATCTGTACACACTAAATGGAGAGGAAAATATTGCTGCTGTCTCCAAAGACAGTAGAGTTGAATTTTTAGTACAGTGCTACGTAGAGAATGTTTGGCTGAACAGAAGATGAAAAAACAGGTACTATATGATACAAAAGGATCTAAAGTTGGGATGGTGGCAGGCAGAGACAAAGAGGGAAGCCCCAGGCTTGCTCTGTGAGGACCTACTAGTGGAATTCCAGGAGGTCTTAGGCCTCCAGCAAGTAATGTTTTGATGTTGACCTTTAGCATAAGTTGGGAGTAATGATGAAATGTTGAATGATCACAGAAATTTGAGAAGTGCTGTAAACACAGAGGAGGGTTGGACTGTAACACAGAGAAAAATGTACTATCTTGAGGGCTTCAATAGCAGTAGAAATGGGGGAAGATTAAGTATGTAAAGAGCAACATCATATTTGAAGGGTTCTTTTGGTCCTTTTCTCATCAAGTAGATATTTAACAGATACTGATCTACAGGCATAACTGTCTGAGATACGGTAGCCAGCACAGCTCATTTTAAAGCAGAATTTGATTTTAATAAATCTAATGGTATTCTGCTGACAACCTACCGTGACTTAGTTTGTAGCAGATTTTAGAACTAGTCTTCAGTCAGCAATGATATATCATCTTTTGAGTTGTGTGATTTTGTGCATGTCCTGTTTGTTTAATTAATCTTTAGTTATGAGCACCAAATACAGTAGTAAAGGGAGAATCAACATCTCACTGATAAAAGAGACATACAGTAAAATGAGACACAGAATGGAAACATTACCTGGACTTTGTACAATCCTTGTTATTTTCTCTGAAGTGTTTTAGAGCACCACTGTGCTCTTATGGCTGGAACACTAAGAAGCAGTATGAAATGAGACCTGAAGGGAAGCAAACCTGCACTGAGTCACCTGTAAAGTCACAGGCAGATGTTTTCAGTTTCCTGATATACACAGTTCATTAGAACTTGTGTACATTAAGATATCTATCACTGTGCATTTAATATAATCTAAACAGAAACATCTTGGCAGAGCTTAGATCTCCTTGCTTAATCTCCTTGACATTTCAGAAACAACTTTTTTTGCTAACATTTTAGAGTGTGATGAATTGGGATGTTCAATAAAGCAAATTAGCATAATGGTTTGCATACAGGATATGGATCTTTTGACAAGGTATCAGATTATAAATGAAACTCATCTGCATCTAGCCAGGAGGCACTATGTTTGCTTATATAACCTGACTCCCTCATTATCAGTGCTCTAGCCCTTACCATGATATGCCATTGAGAGGGAGAATGGCTTGAATCAGTCATGAACTGTTTTTAGCTTATATTTGGCAAGGGATAGGGTCAAAGGAAAGAGGAAATTAGGGGTAAGAGAAAAAGTTGTCTGCCTAATTTAGATGTTTGAATGTTGTATGGTGGTTATTAGAGATAGCAAGAGCTAAGAGGGAGTAATTTTTACTAAAATTCACAATGTTGTGTATACAGCTGGGTTGATGCTAGAATCTGGAAGAGATTTACTACATAGTCTTGATTTATTATTATTTTTCTTTGGCTTTCAGTCATACCAGAACTGGATGCTGAAGAGAATAGGGAACTTGTAAACTAGTAGAGTGGTTTCGGTACACTACACTTTGCATGGTATGTCAGAATGCAGAGACAAGTGCTCTATGCATCCTGAAACTGGAAGATGCCTCTAAGAGTGAAGTGGTGATCAGGAGGGCAAGTAATGGCTAAAAACATGCTGAATAGCAGAGATAATTTCTGTAGATAGAACTGTGATAATAAAGCTGTGACAAGCTGATGGCTATTGACATATGAACACAAAGTACATGGAAGGATCTTTTTTTGGTGACTCCCATTGCTGTCCCAGAAAACCAAGCTCAAGAATTCCTGCCTGTCATAAATGTGAGTCAGTAAGGCTAGGAATGTTACTCAGTATATCAGAGTTAAGTTAATGAAGTGTGGGAATATTTTGTCAAAAATTTACCACCTACATGCCTGACAAAGTTCATTAAAGATCTACTGACGAACAGAAGACATGTTAAATAATTTAAAGAAAACTTACCAGTTTCACTAGAAAACATGATGCCTTTTTTCTCACTTCATGGACTGAGTGAACAAACATGCAACTACATCCTTGCTGCTACAACTTTTGAAGGAAAAGAATTAGGATTCAACAGTAGAGCTTCAGAGGATGTTAGAGAAGCCACATAGCGCGAGCAGTTAGGAATAGAACTGTCTCAGGAAGGAAACAGATTCAGATACTAGTGGAGCCTATCCAGACAAAAGTGTCCTTCATGTTGTGAGACTGGACTGGATCTAAAGCAAGCAGAGATGGTGAGGGTCCTGGCTACAGCACAGGAGGGATTTCAGGGTACTGGACATAGTGGTATGGAGGTTGCAATATGTGCAGGTTACCATTTATGAGAGGAACAGAACACAGAAGGCAGCTGGTTATTAAAGCACTTGGCAGTTTGTTGGAGGATAGCTGCAAACATCTTGAAATGCCAGGGCCTTCAATTAAACCATGCTTTCTATTCTTCCCTCGTGCAACATCTTAAGTACAGTTTGAAAACATAATTCTGCCACCTAAACTTTGTGTTCCTTAGGCTCCATTCACAGAAGTCTTGCTTCTTCCAGTCTAGAAAATACAGTGCCCTGCCTGGTGGAGGAAGACCATAATCAGTGTATGTAAAGGACTATAAACTCTTTAATTTTGATCAAATAATACAGTGTCTGTTTGCTATCAGAAATTCAGTCATGAGTATACTGGGCAAGATTTTCTGTCCATCTCACATTTACTAGCAAGCACCTGAAGCATCTCTGATTTTGTAAAAGCATTATTCTAACCAGTGTTAGTTTGTTTTCTTATTTTTCTAAATCAGTCTAGAGAAAATCAAGTTCATGACTGAGTAATATCTTAATGATATGCAGAGAACATGTTCAAGTGGTAGGCCCATGTAATCTTCATTAAGTCTATGCTATAAATGCCAAGAAATCAGAGTCACTTCAAATAATTTAGATTAAGGTCTCTTTGAACTGTGTGGCTTATTTCAAGGCCAATATCCTGCTTTTTACTATGAGCAAGGAAATCCTGCTGATGTTAGTACAGTTCCAGGCATGCTTGCCAAGATATCAACAAGAAAGCCTTTTGCATTGACTTGGACTGGAGAACTCCTATTTATCTTGCCCCTGCAGTTCCAGGACTCTGAAACTTGTCCTGTTTCTTGGATCAAAATATTTGGTGATCTTGCAGCCACTCTGTAATAAACTTGTTCAACAGGATTTTGGATGGGACTAACCATATATGCCACACTGAACTGAAAAGCTGGAGTGGCAGAAAGGAGCTTTTAGTTTTTCTTTTCTTAGATGAAAAGTTGGCAGAGCCATTATTTCAGATGCTGCTGGAATTCTGTTCAAATACTGCAAAAAGACTGCTTTGAAGATTTTGTTGTTGTTTTAAACAGGAGAGAAAAAACATTTAGTTAACATGCTGGACCTGTGCATCAAAAGGGACATGAGTGTCCTTATTCCTTCTTCACAGCTCAGGGAAGTGAAGCTTAGGAAAGTAAGCTTGGCCTGCTCAGGATCATGCATCACAGAGAATTGGATACAGTGGTAGAGCTGGTTTTTTTACCCTGAAGGGACATCCCATCTTCTAGAGAGTAAGGCTGAGGTAGCAGCCTACTGTCACTAGGTTCTTTTAAAACTACCCAAACTTCAATCACCAAATCAAGCTGTTTTGAAATGAACTCTGAGTTTAGTTAGAATTATGTGAGAGAGTCAATCTAGACTTGCAGCTACTAAATAAATGTATATCAGAATAGAGCTTGATTTTCTTTTTTCCTTAAATTGAAATTTGCTGGAAAAGACTAAAGCCAGTAGCAAATTTCCACTTTGTTCTTCCAAAATATTTAATTTATGAAAAATCTGTGAAGAAAAGAGCAAAAGGTGATAGCTGTACATGAACTTCTGTTTTTTTCATCTGTTGCAATTTTGGAATGATTTTGCATTCTGTTTGACTATAAGTTAAAATTTAAAATAAAGTTGCATCATTGGTGTCAGAGATAGTTATTGCTCTGGTGCTCCTGCTCTTAGAGATTATTTTCTCACCTATGTGGATTTTTAAGTGTTTAGGGTCTTTATGCTGTG